CTCATTAATAATAGCAATATTTTATTCTGCCTGCAAAAAGAAATAGGACTTTTTATATATTTGCTGATATACCGTCCTACATCAATGGCTTTGAGAAGTTGTGGTAATATATGTATCTACAGTTTAACATAAACTTTAGATAGTATAAGAAATGTCTTCAGCAGCTGAAGGAAACAAAATTTGAAATTATCCCCCTTTCAGATATCAGGTATGAAATGGGAACTGGTCTGTAACGTCCTTTAGTCTCTTGGGATAATAACACGTATCATTCCACATGCAGCTGGTATACTTCAAGCACAGATCTACACGCACATAGAGTTATAAAAAAACCAACGCAAGCAGGCTATCCCTAAAATGCTCCTAACGTTGTCAGCAATGGGTAGTGATTTTCTAATACTTAATTATTTAAGATATTGCTACAAAAAAATACATTCACAGTTTATGAAAATACGATGTAACAGTTCTCCATCTGCTTTTGTTTCTAATGACTGCAATAGGAATTTTACAGTCTATTTCGAAACAAACAGGATCTCATCCAAAAATAAGAAATATAATTTCATTGCAAAAAAAGATGCACTTGTCACCAGCAAAGTATTTACCCTGACAATACTAATATGAAAACATCACAGAAAAAAAAAAATTATCAGTGGCATACAAATACTTCGAAAGAGAACTAACACTGAATAATTTAATCCCACCCGAGGACAGATTCAGTTTACTTGATGGCTGCTTGCTTGGCTAACTTCTGCTTTAAATTATTGCACTCCGATATTAAATCACTTCTCTCTAAAAAAATTCGTAACACCACCTATATTATATATAGAATATGTAGCATTACCATCTGTGCCATGCCAACCCTAAACATATATGTAGCTATCAGTAATATATAGAGATAGTGAACTATGAAAAAAATTGCTTCCAAAGTGCAGTGTTATTTTAACTAATAACGTAATTCCTCTTTTCTTGTTGACATTTTACCTCCGTGTGAATGACACCCTCCACAAGGGTATAAAAAAACTGAAGGCATAATTTTACCAGTTTGTGTTTTGTCAGTTCTTTCCTGTTTTGTTTTATTTTATATAGCTATGTTTTCAAACGGGCTGTTACGCATCTGCTTAATTTTGAATTCGTGAGTAGTTGCATGCAAACCAAGGCAGGGAGACAGAGGGTTTGCAGGGTGGAGCCCTCCACTCGTGACTGTGACCAGAAACAGATGCTGGAAGACCTGCAGTCCCGCGTCGACAGAGGAACCAACAGAGCGACCGAAGGAGCGACCGAAGGAATGAACGAACACCAGGTATCACGAACGTGCCATTACAGCAAAAGGCAGGAGGCGATTGCCAACATCAGATACTGATGGGCTACCAATAATACACATCATGGCAGCTCTACATCCAAATTGCAGTTCCACTAAGTCCTACTGGTAGTTTTAGTCCCAGATGTAGGAGTTGTGGTATGAATGCAGAATTTTCTATCACTTTGCTTATTCTAGCGACTTCCAAATTTAGTCCGTGGCTCACTGGTAGTCCACAGGGTCATGGCAAATGGTCTGTCGGTCATTCACAGACCCATAGTAAATAATACTTCATTTCCGTCAGTGAAAAGGTCAATGAGAAAGGTGCACAACTGTCAGTACTAAGTTTTGGGGGTTGGTGGCGGCCTGCAGAGCCAAAATATTTTGGAACTATTGACTTAATCCTACATTTTTCCTAAGCAAACTGTAATCACTGGCAGATACATAGAACCTCTTATTTATTGGTATGCTAGTCTATGCTCAGCTGCATATTAACCTCTCTTGTAGGACCCGAACACGCAACTTCATTTATTAATCTTAATTGCTCTTATCAGAATAAAAACAAATCTGTTTGCTTATGATATGTTTGCTTTTGAACTTTTATTGATCTTTTCTTCTATGTCTAATTATGGACCCAATCCTCTGCACTCCATAGTGGACTGCAGAGGAGTTTTGCCTCTGTACAGCCAACTACACATTTACTACTGATCATGAGACTGAAATTTAGGATGCTCAAACTAGAAACTTCACAGACTTTTCTTCTGGTACAGATTACTTTGGCAATAGGTACAAAATAAGTAATGCTTCAAGACCAGGTCCTTCTGATGGGGTAAATTAACAAAGACACTTCAGTTTATACCGGCTGAGAGTCTGGCCCAGCATATTCTGAATTAGTTCAGGCTTCATTACTCCTTTATCTTAAAATGTGGGAGTCTATAATACACAGAATGGGGCACTTGGGTATTAAACAAAATGAAGGAACACTGGTTCACTGACTGCTTGATGGCAACTGGTTTGTACTGTATTTAAAAATACATAAGTTAAATGGAAATTTGAAAGCACTTAACACTTCCCTAGCAATGGGTTTAGGACTTATGCTTAAAGGGGTCTAACTGGGCAGGAGAAATAGAAATCTAGAGAAAGTCTCCCATGTAACAGATGAATTTGACAGGTGTCTTTCTTATCTGCATGCTATCATTTTTTTCAAGTTCCAGTATTCACTAATAGCGGTTCATAGATTTTTAAAGCCAAAATGATCAGTGCAAGTGGCAACCGTAACCTCTTTTGTAATAACTTTCATAAACACTCACGCTCTGATTTTTGCTTCACACCAAATAACCACTAGCTATACCAAAGCGTGTTTCACAACCATCCCGCTTTGAAGACCTCAGCCAGTGTCTGACGTACACCACGTCCAGGTGAGGTGTTCTGACGGTTATTTGTCTTCGCTGCCAAAATAATGAGCCAGACTTCCATTCTGACTCTTTCTAGCTGTGATTTTTCAGCCACTTGTTCTGCTGTGAATTTAACTTAAGTCTTGCATTTCAACCGGAAAACTTTGAGCAAGTACTCGGTACCTTCTCCTCGTTGTCCCAACCAGCTAATTATTTGCAGCCAACACTTCCACCTCTATTTCCCGAAAACTACGCTGCTGAAGAGGGGGCCCAGGTGGGCCGGTGCTCGCCTGAGGAGCGCGCCGCACCGCCCCGCACCGCCCCGCACCCCCGCGCCGCCGCCCCGCTGCCGGGAAATCGCGGCTGCCCTGCGCCCACCCAGCGCCC